TCGGGACTTCAGAAGGCCCTCGTTTTCTCACAACAACGAGGGAAAGATGAAACAATAGGAGATACCCACAACCTCACCAGGCTTTTTTGCATAGCGTGAACAAAGCTTGAGCCTCGGCGTGAGCACACGATCATAGCCATCTTTCAGGAAAATAAGCATGGGCTACGAGAACAGGGTGGCCACTTTGATCCTGAAAAACGTCACGTTCGCCCAAGAAGGCACGTACTATTGCCACGCCACGAACATTCATGGCACCACTGTACTGCCTAGCGAAGTTAAAGTTGTGCCCGGTAAGCATCAGCGTTACATTATCGTCTGAGTCCAACTAACTAGCTTGAACTTTCAGAGAAAGCAGGTGACACAGTGAGAATATCGTTGGCCAAATACGATAAGCGGGAAGGCAGTGAACAGCTCATCACGAATATTCATGCCTATCACACTGAAGAACAACAGGAACAGACGATAGGAGTTCATGCTCCCGAAAAAGAAAGCGTGTCTGGACGATGTGCTGCGGTTCCAAGCCGCCAGGAGAAAGTTGTTGAGGAACCATCCAAGCAAATGCCTGTCGTAGAGCACCCTGTGCAGGCTGCTGCTCAGCCTCCAGTCGTTGCTCAACCATCTGACCAGCCTCCAGAAACTGCCGCAACGCCTGATGCAACTCCGATTGCACCACCCAGGAAACACATTCCTAAAGAACAACAGGTTGAAGTGCCGATCTCAAGACAGACCGCCGAAGCAGAAGCGGAAGCACGAGCAGATGAGGTGAGGGAGCATTAGAAGTTCCAGGATTTTTAGAAAAAAGCCTTGGCGTGACCTAAGAAGGCACCGCCTTGATGAAAACCAGAATAGGGGAAATCATTTAATGCAGGAGAAGCCAATCCACACTTTATTTTAGGAGCAAAAGGTCCGACTGGTAGCCGTTAGATTTGCCGAATCGTTCACAGAAAACGTTATGAGTCAAGTGAGTTCAGCTAAAGCACTCAGAGAGTTTGCTCTGAATCTTGTTAGGCCGATGTCAGACTTTGCGAATCGCGCGATTCGCTAGCGTCTGCGGTCGCGTCGCGGCCAGTGAATCACTCAATTGGCTGGTACCGCAACGCGACCGCGGACGCTAGCGAATCGCGCGATTCGCAAAGTCTGACATCGGCCTACAGCTTCTGCGAAAGTCAAGTGGCGCTGCAGGTCTCCGCCTTTTAGTGGCGTAAATCCAAAATTCACACGTTTCCAGGCCCAATCCGATCTTCGCAGTTCTGTCCGAGTTGATGAGTCAATCGTGAAAATCACGGCAGCACCAGGAGCGAAGATTTTAGAAGAGAAGGTGATTTCGATGCCGTAAGATCGAAGCTCCCAACACTCCGCAAACATCCTTAAATTTCCAGGTAACCGAAACGGTGGAGGTAATCCCAACAAGTCTCAACCGTTGCTCCGCCACAGACGTCAACGATGGTCACTAAATCTGCACAAGTTCTAGAGGTTTGTTTCACAAACGGCTGTTTACAAACATAAAAATTTGTTCGAGGGCTGCCGTTGCAACTCAGATTAATATGTTATGGATGCCTCTTTACGGCAGTTGTCGAAATCTACTTCCCGTTATGTATTGGAATTATCCCCAAATTCTAGTGAATTGACTTGAGGCGTCATTTCCAAAATAAGCGCCCTATGAGAGACATTCACAAGCTCAATTTGTTCAGGAAATCATTAACGCCGGAATGACAACAATCGATGTACGCAAACCAAACGTTCAATTCGATCACGTGGTTACGGTAGTAGAGCCAGAGGTTGGCAATGAATTCAAGTAGGTTCTGGTCCGACCTCGTGAAGTCAAATCCAATCCTTTCAGGTAGTCCAGCTCGGTCTGCGACTGTCGTCGCCTAGCGTGCCGTCGATGAAGTTCATCGACCTGGAAACGATATTGCAACGGCCGGGTACCTCCTCGTCAGCTAACACACTCATCACTTCACCTCAGCGAGGATCGGCGAACGCTGAACATCGGATCGTCGTCCTCGAAGGAGCATCCCAGAAATTCCACAATGCTATGACACTCAGTTTGAAGAAGGTAGGAGCTGTGATCTGCAGTAGCGAGGTTTTCCTTCCGGAGCACATTACCATAGGGTTTCCAAAAGATTCTTCAGACTCTTTTGAACAGATGTTTCGTGATCGATCTTTAATCCATGATAAGCCGCATAGCTGACATCTGCAGTGATTCCCAGCTGAGAATAAGTGTTTGCCTATAGCTGCGAGCTCATGGCAGGTGTCAGACTTTGCGAAACCGCGGGGGCCGGTCAGCGGTTCAGAGGGAACGAGATGTGTTGCGGTCAGCAGATTATCTCATGGGGCATAAGTTTAAAACGCTAGGCAAAGCTGTCGTTGAATTGCAGCGGACCACGCATTGCAAAGTCTGACAACGGCTATAGATGGCTACTATAATTAGGCACTTTCTGAGAGCTTTCGTGTTGGGCCAAAACAGCAGTGTAAAAAGCAAAAGCAGAGCTGGGGACCGTTGCTTTATTAACGGGTTGCGCCCATTCCATAATCTCTGCCATGAAAAACCCAATACGATTTTTCTGCGATTACAGGTCAGAAAACTCGCGACTGAGTCGGCTGAACCATCGACATTCGTCCAAATCGAAATCATAAAGCCCAATGAGCATAGCGAAGAAATACTGACCATCGTCAACACGGAGAAACTCATTCCAGACCTGCTCAGGGTGGCCGCTGCGGCCAGCAAGTTGAAGGTTCGAGCACATTCTCAAATATCTGGTACCCGTTCAGCCGCTTACTCTTTCTCATTACAGATGGAGAACGTCACTGTTAGTCTGGTGAAGCAGGGCGACACTGCCCATCAGGAGCTCGTCATCGAATACGAGAGTCACATTGAAGATGCCGTCGACTTTAACCTATCACAGCTTGTCTATGATAATCACCTGAGCGAGGTTCGTGCACCATTTTTACAGCTGACCGGTGATCGACCTCATTCACTGTTTCAGGTCAGCTCACGACAGGAGAAATGGTCTCGTCGATCACGATATTCTGAGGTGGACGAGAATGTGGTGGCAGTTTTCATGGAAGTCGACGCGAACTGTCCCGATCAGGTACTTTCCCTAAACACGCCCCGAAAGGCGGTCTTGTGAAATCTAAGACCAATTTGCAGAGTGTCGAAATCGTGGCATCGGTTAGTACACCGTCAGAGGTCAAAGTGGATCGACCACCGGCTACACCTTCGCCGGAACGGATGGATGCGTCTGAATCGTTGACGGAATCGTCGAGCGCCATAGGACAACAGATTCCGAGGTAGGGAAAACCGCTGTACCCAAAGCTCAAATCTACCCCCCCCCCGTTTCGAATTTGTGTGGTCAGCGGTTGAGAATGAAGTTGTGGATGCCGAATTGACTGGAAATGAACAAAGAAGCAAAGGAAACTGTTGACGACCAAACAAGGATGCGCCTCGATATAGAAGGGGGCGGGGCCAGACGAGGTGTCGGAAGCTTGCCTTGTTCCATCGCTCGTTGACCCGCGCATATTCGAACCACCCGCTCTTCGGTAATCAAAGTTGCGTACCACGGGGAGTGCGCTATGTAACTCGTCCAAATACTAAGATTAGTTGTCAAATGCTGGCTTTGAAAGGCCCAACGCGCTTTAGAGCCGTAACGACGTCCTATCTGTGCTACTCGTGGGCTACTCTATCCCACCACTGAATAGATTCTTCGCGACTTCTGCTGGGGGTGCTGCTTCAAAGACGCATTCCGCCAATGAAAGTGGAATGGGTAGTGGAGTCCAAATATGATGTAGTAGAGGCTAATTAACTCAACAGAGAAGAAAAAATAAGAAAGAAGTTTTTGGCTAGACCAGGAATGTTTCCCTCCAGTGAGGACCAGATTGTCCTCTTATGACCAGTGGAGGAGGTGGGATGTTAGAAGCTATACAAAGGTTCATGAGCGGGAGTTAAAGCAACAGTCCCAGCGGGGTTTTTACCTTCGACACTAATGGTATGGAACGATGCGCCAGCCCTAGTCAAGAACATAAAAAGTGTGACTGAA